GATCGAGGACACAAATGCAGAACGCAATCGCGCCCGGGGCGCCTGGTCTACCGCGCCGCCCTGCCCCTGTCTCAGCCGCTCCGAGCACTCGGCGCGGACTGGAAGGATCTTCGTTATTTATTATTGCGTATTTCCTGCCGCCCTGTCTGCCCCCCAAACAGGGAGCAGGCAGGGCCGCGTTTGTTCTCACACGGTAGGCACTACATGACTATTTCTTGAACGGATGCATGGACCGCGAACGAGTCTCGCCTTCTCTCAGAGCCCTCCAGAACACAGCCCCGACCGCCCTAGCACCTTTCCACCTTGCGTTTACGCTGACGTCATCAGCACATCCCCCATCCCCAGCCTGGAGGGGCCCTGGGCCGTGCACAGAGGGCAATCCATTCCTGTGAGACCTCCTGCCTCCCCTCCAGCACCCTGCCCTTCTCCTTAATTCAGTTATTAATTATGTAATGATTTGTTCATCATTTCCCCTACTAGCATATGGGCTCCGGAGACTCAAGTTTTGTCTGACTTGTTTACTGCCTTATCCAAGGGCCAGGCACACTGTACATGTTCTATAAAGACCCTGGTGTCCGTCACCCCATCACAGCTTGGGGTACAGCTAGCTCTAGGTTTCAGGGAAGCAGAGGCTGGATAGAGTGCCCGCTGCAGCGGGGAGAACCACCTCTCATGCCTGCCTCTTCCGATGACCTGGGGCCCTTCTGGCCTCTTTCTAAGGCTATCTGCAGAGCCCTTTTGCTGCTCTTCTGTGATGACAGGACACCGGATCTGTGCAGAGGAACTAGGGGGAGGGGAGGGATGAGGGCACTTCTAGGCGTTGTTGGTGGTGGTGGCGGTTGCTATGGAGTTGGCCCTGGCTCATGGCGACCTGAAATACAACAGAACAAAAGGTTGCCTGATCCCGCGCCATCCTCTCAATGGTGGCTATGTTTGAGTCCACTACTGCAACCACTGTGTTGATCATTGAGGGGTTCCGGTGTTTTTGCTGACCCTCTACCAATCACGATGCCCCTTTCTAGAGAGACTGTTTTTTTTTCCCCCTTTTTTTATTGTGATTTGGGTGGAAGTTTACAGAGCAAATTCACCCTCCGTACAGCAGTTCACATACACTTTGTCTCATAACATTGACTACAATTTCCCACAATGCAACAGCTCCCTCCCACTTCCTCTCAATAGTTACCTCTTCCCTGTGTCCATCCCTCCGTGGACTCCTGCCCCCTGAACTGTCTCCCTGTGCATGCACAGCCCTTCTGTTCTCCCATGATTGGTCTCTTCAAGGACTGTGTCTACCTCAGGTAAATGTTCAATTCATACGCCTGTCTTTTGTTTGGCTGGAAGCCAGAGGTGTGGGTTCAATTCCAGACCTGAAGGGCAGCTAGGGATCACAGTCTCAGTGGTTCCACCAGGCTCTATCGGACCAGCAAACCTGGTCTCCTTGAGATTGGTCTTTCTTGACAACATGTCCAAAGCAAGCAAGCCAAACTCTTGCCTTCCTTGCTTATTGGAAGCAGTCTGATATTTTTTCGAAGACCGATTTCTTCGTTCTTCTGGCAGTCCGTGGCAAATCAATATTCTTCACCAACACCATCATTCACATGGGTCAGTCTTCCTCTCTCTTCTCTTTTCATTGTCTAGCTTTTGTATGCATGCGAGGTGATGGAGAAGACCATGGCTTGGGTTAGGTGCACCTTAGTCTTCAAAGGGACGTTTACGGACATTATGAAGACAAGTGTCCATCTGAGGCTCACTTTATTGAGCATTTACTCTGTGTCAACCCTTGTGCTAAGGGCTTTACATACGTTTCTGCATTTAATACAGCAAACTTATGGGGTAGCTACTATGATTACATTAAACTTCCAGAAGAAAACATAAGAGAAAATCTTTGTGAGTCTGGGTTAGGCAAAGATTTCTTAGGTACAAGACCAAAAGCATGATCCCCCTTCCCCAAATCAATAAATTGGACTTCACTTATTTAAGAACTTTTGCTCTTTGAATGATACTATTTAAAGAATGAATGAAAAGGCAAATCACAGTCTGGGAGAAAATATTTATATCCCAAATATATAAAGAACTCTTAAAACTCAATAATAAGAAAACTAGCAACCCGTTTTTTAAAAAATGGGCAAAAGATTTGAACAGACACACACATCAGCCAAGAAGATATGCAGATGGCAATTATGCATGCAGAAATATGTTCAGCATCAGAGTCACTAGGGAAATGCATGTTCAAATCACAAGAAGATGCTACCACACACTTATTCAAATCACTAAAATTTTAAAAATTGACAACACCAAGTGCTAACGAGGATGTAAGGAACTGGAATTTTATCATGGCTGGTGAGACTACAAAATGGCACAAAACAGCCCACCGCTGTGAGTTGGTTCTGACTCATAGCAACCTCCACTGGGTTTCCAAGTCAGTAAATCTTTGCAGAAGTAGATTGCTTCATCTTCCTTCTACAGAGTTGATGGTGGGTATGAACCATCAACCTTCTGGTTAGCAGTCAAATGCCTTAGGCATTGTGCCACCAGAGCTCCTTACAAAATGGGATAGCCACTTAAAAAAAAAAAAAAAAAAAACAGTTTAGCAATTTCTTATAAAGTTAAATATGCACTTATCATAGATCCAGCAATCCAACTCTTGCGTGTTTGCCAACGTGAAAGAAAACCCACGTCACACAAAAACCTGTGCGGGAATGTTATCGTGTGTTGTGTTCAGTAGCCAGAACCTGGAAACAACCCAACGGTCCCTCAACTGGAGGATGTGTAAGCAAACTGCAGTGCGTCCATACAGTGGAATACACAACAAGCAAACATGGCCGTGAGTCATTCCAACTCACTCCATGAGTTTCAGAATAAAAGTGTTTTCTTGGTTGTAGTCTTTACGGCAGCACAGTGGTTAAGTGCTTGGCTGCTAAGCGAGAGGTCAGCAGTTTGAACACACCAGCGGGAGAAATATGTTGCAGTCTGCTTCCATAAAGATTACGACCTTGGAAACCCTGTGGGGGACTTCTGCTCTGTCCTCTAGGATCACTATGAGTCAGTATCAACTTGATGGCAACAGGCTTTGTTGGCTTTGGTTAGTCCTTATGGAAACAGTTCACCAGGCCTTTCTTTTGCAGCACTGCTGAGTGGGTTCAAGCACCAACCTTGAGGTTGGTAGCCAATCACAGACCACTTGCACCACCCAGGCATCTCAATGGAATACTAGTCAGGATAAAAAGGAATGAACTATTGATACACTCAATAATAGGGGTGAATTTCAGATATGTTCTGCTAAGTGAAAGAAGTGAGACTCAAAAGGCTATGGATTGCATGATTCCATTCATGTGACATTCTTGCAAAGGCAAAACTATAAGAACAGAAAACAGCTTAGTGGTTGCCAGGACCCAAGGTTGGGGGACTGGAGCATTTACTACAAGCGGTATAGGGGTGCGGGTGCGCAATGGACTCATTCTATGTTTTGTTTGTGGTGTTAGTTGCATAACTGACAATACATGTTTGTCAAAACTTGCAGAACTGTCCCTAAAAGGGTGAGTTTTACTGTAGGCAAACAGGACTTCAAACTGGTTTGAAGCGGCTCAGTCATGACTAAGGAAGGAAAACTGGAACAGGCTTGAGTTTTCAAAATTTGGGTGATCCAGAATGCTAACCAGAATGCGGGAAGTTACAGGATGAAACCCTGGAAATAGGAGACTCGGGAGAGGCATAGTGAGCCTTTTCAGGAACCTGGTGCAGGAGATGGGCTTATTGCCAAGACTGTGGAGAGGGACATATTCCACGCAGTGTGGTTGGCCACCATCTTTGAGCCGGGCATCATTGTTTTAGATTCAGACAGGCAAGAGATTTGGTTGCTAAGCAACGTTCATGCTGCCCTTGTTTTCTAAGAGGGAGATATAACTTTCTAGCAGGGTTTCAACATGCAGTTTTTCTTGTTCCAGTTAGCACTCCAGGTCACCCACATTTTAAAATTTTGAGTCTATTCCAGTATCACTTTATCAACAATAGCTGAATTGGGCTGAACTTGTTCAAAGCCCTGTATGTAAATTGCATCTTAATTATTAAAATGGAGGAAAAAAATGCACAATGGGGCATAGATCAGTGAGTAATATTCATTGATTTATTTTCAAACAAATATTTATTTGAAGCCCATTCTGCATTGGGCTTCATGCCAGTCACAGGGCTATAAAGGGTGAAGAATTTAGAGCTTATTTCTAGTTCTTCCAACACTAAGCTTTTGTATACTGACGGACCAAATTTCAGAAAGGATGGTGTTTATCATCCTAAACTTCCTACTCAGCCATCCTTGGGTGAAAGTCCCTGATGCCTCATACACACTGTGATCTTGGGTAAACAGGTTCATGTCTCTGGGCCTGTTTCCTCATCTGAAAAGTGGAAACAAGCATAGTACATTTCTCTGTGGATTATTGTCAGGATTAAATGACAGAATACACAAGGTGTGCTTAGAATGGTGCCTGGCACATGAAGGAGCTTGATGAACATCATTAGCCTCATCCTCACCACTGGTTTCCTAGGTGGCATGTAAAACAACCACCACCCATCTGTCAGTTTGTCTTACTGTGGTGGCTTGTCTGTTCTTGTGAGGCTGGAGGCTATGCCACCAGTATTTCAAATACCAGCAGGGTCACCCATGGTGGACAGGTTTCAGCAGAGCTTCCAGATTAAGACAGATGAGGAAGAAAGGCCTGGTGATCTACTTT